GATCTGTGTTCTATGTTAGCATAGATCTGTGTTCTATGTTAACATAGATCTGTGTTCTATGTTTACATAGATCTGTGTTCTATGTTAACATAGATCTGTGTTCTATGTTAACATAGATCTGTGTTCTATGTTTACATAGATCTGTGTTCTATGTTAACATAGATCTGTGTTCTATGTTAACATAGATCTGTGTTCTATGTTAACATCTGTGTTAACTACGGTTACATAGATCTTCTGTTTAGTAGGATCACCACTCTGATGAAATATTTGTCATTTCTGGTTTTACAAGTGTTTTTCTCGCTGATTTATTTTTCTCATTTAAAATGTAGGTTTTTTAGAATTTCAAAAATTGTACTTTATTAAATATTTGTGTCTAAAATCATACAAACCAGTAATTACGAGTTACTACTACTTACTACTTACTACAAGTCTTCATTTACTCTCTTTCAACGCACACACGGAGTGGTTTGTCAATCACCTGGAGTGGCCAATCAAGACCCAGACCACCCTTCTGGCCCCGCCCCAGTTCAGAGTATGTATTGTGGATGACTCTCATCTACTACCACACCAGATTTTAGCTCAGTATTTGTAGAGTTGTCTAAGCTATCTTTGTGTTTCCTTAGCGGTAGCAGCCACCTTGAATGGGCATAGTTTCAAACAATATTCAGTAGAATATGTACAGCCAACAAAACTTCATTAAGATCACTGTTTCATAACATATTTTGCTAACACAAAAGACAGACAAAATTACATGGACAAAAACATTCTTGCCTTTTTTTTAAAAGCTGGCGACAATCATTCTTTACTGCAGTTTTCATCATCGACCTCCCTGCTCAAGTTTCATTTTTGTTACAGATTTACAGTCGAGCTGATTTTTATTTGAAGTAATTTCTCATTTGTATATTTCTTTAAAGGGGCCAGACCATTAAAAAATATAGAAAGTAATCAATAGTTTATTTAGACTGTCTGGAGTTTTTCTTTGAACTTATTTTTTGTCCAGTTCTTGTACCTGATGGTGAAAAAAAAATCTGCAAGTGTTTTCTGTGAGAAACTGACAAAAATAAAAATAAAATGAAAATCCAAAGAACTGAGAGATGCATCACCTTCAGATGATCATCAGTTTGTCACATTGTCAGGTAGTAGCTGTTCAGGAATATTAATTAATGATTTTCTCAGGTTAAACTAAATAAATGTCAGGTCGCAACTAAAGATGTTGAAAAAATAGATTATTTACTAATTTGTGACCCATCATATCGAAATGAGGATTAAGTCAAATTTGGTCAAAATGACCTAATTATATTTTCAGATCAATGGCTTTAAAAGCTACATTTTGATACCTGGATCATTCTGATATCATACGTAAATCCATATGACTTAATTTGTCTTCTTCTAGGGCTGCCACGATTAATCGATTAATCGACGACTAATCGATTATTAAAATAATCGATGACTAATTTGATAATCGATTAATCTTTTTCTTTTTTTGATCTTTACTTTGTTTTTCTCTCCAAACTGCTTTGACACCTTCCACTGCCACATCT